CCCGCAGAGCAGGGAGCCCGATGCGGGACTCGATCCCAGGACCCTGGGATCATCACCTGAGCCGAAGGCAGTTGCTTAACCGACTGAGCCACCCAGGCGCCCGCAAAGATGATTAAGAACACTTTCTCATTCTGTACTTTCTTCCCAAGGCCGGGCAGTCTTGTGAGGTTGAGACTCTTACTCCACTCATCCATCGTTGTAACAAGCTCATCCTCGTAGGAGATCCTAAACAGCTCCCTCCCACGGTCATTTCTATGGTAAGTTAGTTTCATGTTCATATTGCTTTAAAGTGGAAGGGCCTTTTTTGTTCTTATGTTTGGAGGGGGTCTGTCTTGGATCATCATCTCTTATTTGGAAGGAAAAGTAGGGAATGGCTAAGGAAAGAGAACCACTGTTTGAATTTTAAGAGTAAAAGTCTGTAAAAATGTCCCTTTGTTCCTGATTGTGCTTATGTGCATGTGTGACCCGAGCAGGGCGCGTGCCCGAGACCTGAAGACAAGAACGACCGTGTTCCATGTGCGGCCTGCTCTATCTTGGGGAAGGGCGGTGCACAGCTATTTTAAGGGCTGTATCCAATCCATTTTAGTAACATAAACACCAAAACAATAATAAAAGAAAAATTTTAAGTTTCCTAACCTCCTGATTTATATTTTAAATGTATGCAAATTTGAAAATGTTATCAAGAGTACTTTAAATATACTTAGAGTACATTTCCAGTTTTAGAATTCTGTGTCCTATCATACAAAAAAAAAAAAAAAAAGATACACTGTGCCTCTCTCGTCCTCTGAAAGTGCAGTGTCAGGAAGAGAAAAGGGGCCGTGAGCCCCGCTTGTGGGGAGGACCAACCAGCACCTCGAACGTGGCCCGCCCCTCTCTGCTGTTACCGCACCACAGAGGGCTCCTAGAAATGCACACCAGAATCGGGACTTTTGTAGATGTTTTGGGTAATCTGAATAGGTGTAGACCATGGCTTTGAATTTAATTAATAGTTGTATATTTCACTAATACAAAGATTGTTTGTACAGAGGAGTGGTTGCATAAATAACCCCAGAGAACAGATCATTCCAAAGCATTTCTGTTCAGTTGTGGAATGAAAGCAAGTGGTTTTTGTTGTCATTACTGTGTTTTGACCTCGGAATTATTGAAAATGATAGTGCAGTTCTTTGACATCTGAGCATGTGCATGATCACACTATGGTGTTAGCCTAGAAGCACACCTGAGATCTCTGAGTGAAAACCTGTGTCCGTAGGAAAAGCTGCGGGTGATTCTGTTCATGGAGAATAATGAAGAACCGACTCTGTATTGCATTTCTTTTAAATAACATGGTATCTCGCAAATTTACTGATTTAACTTCTTGAAGGGGCTCAGCATGTAGTGAAAAGGGATTGTTGATGGGCCCCAACTTTACTGCTTACTTTGGTGATTGATAAAAGCAGCAAAAATGAGAAAAATCTGCTTGGGCTTATTATTATTACAGAAATAATATGGGCTTATTGAGAAAAATTTAGAAGATAATTACAAAGTTAATTTTCTCAACATGCTTTTCTATCCACCTGTTTCTAAGAAGAATTACTGGGAACAGTTTAGTGAGTATTTTAACAGATTTTGCTGGGCATTTGTGTGTTCGTTTATTCATTTCTTTCCATCAGTATTCATTGAGTGCCAGCCTAATTCAGGCACTGTTTCAGGTACTGGTGTTAAAACAGTGAAGAAAACAGACAAAAGTCCCTGCCCTTTTGGAGCTTGCATGTAGGGGGTAACAGACGGTACATAAGTCGCTAGGATATGGTATGTCAGGTGGCTATAAGGTTTGTGTGTGGTGGTTGTATGTGTATAGAGTTTGCTTTAAAGGGGGCAGAAGCATTCTGTGCCAAGTTGTCTTTTTTTCCGGTCTGTAAATAGATCAGGAATATCCTTCCATGTCAGAACGTAGAAATCCACATCATTCTGTAGGGTAGACCCAGTCTTTTTCTGCAAGTGGAACTGTTGTTACCTTTTTCTTTTTCAAAATAGGTTTGGCTAACTTGTGAATAGATCAACTTCTGGGGATGTAGATAAAATTGTTGAATGTCTACTACTAATACTTTATTTAGTTACACAGACTTATTTAAAATCACATATAGAAATAACCTATGATTTAGGAAGTAATGCCTTCCCCCCCCCACTACTCTCCTAATTTGTGAAACAGGTTTTTCGAACTTCGCACACACGTCTTCAGCATCACGTGTGAAGATCCCATATCCGTTGTCTTAGTGCATTCTTAAGTGCCCATTTGCTTCTAGATGATTTAAGACACAATACTTCTTGAATATTTGTATGATGTTGACATTGAAAAGTATATCCCACGGCACAGCTACAATAACATTAGAACTATTCTCTTCATTTATCTTTTAGGTCACTAATTTTTCAGGTCTTAACTCATTAATAGGTTTATGAAATCAACTTAGTAATTATTGTCACTTGTCTTTCTCCTCCACTGGAATACAAATTCTGTGGCACTTGATCTAATTCACTTAACAGTCTCAGCACTCCAACTTTTAGGTGCTCTCAGTGTATGTTGGATGGATGAGATTGGTCTTTAAAAGGCTTGTGTACAATGACAACCAATATTTCCATCTGTGAGAGAATACGTTAGATATAATTGTTAAAATCTGTGTTGCAATTCTTTCTTTTATTATTGATTCTTTCAGGTGACCTCTGTTAGCATCAAAATAGCTTTAGTTATGGCCATTACAAGATCACATCTTTTCCTTTTTTTTTCTTTTTTTTAACTAAGTAGGCTCCACACCCAACATGGGGCTTGAACTCACAACCCTGAGATCAAGGGTCGCATGCTCTACCGACTGAGCCAGCCAGGTGCCCCAGATCACATCCTTTTCATAAGCAGTATGTGGGTTTTCTAAATAAACTTTTATAGTCAAGCTACATCATTTTTCAAGGCCTGGAGTCAGAAACATCTTTCTCTGAATCTGTGGTTGTTGGCCATCTTATGCCGCTTACATATTAGAGCTCAGTTGCTGTTTTTACAATAGTGGGAAAAGTATAAACAAATGCTTGGAAATTGTTGTTCTCTCCCTTTCCAGAAAGCACAGGAATATGGCTATGACCAGTCAATGATGGCGCGCTTCTACAAGCTGCTGGAAGACAATGTGGAGCACAATATGATCGGCAGGCTGCCTATTTTACAGCTTACTGTTCAGTACAGGATGCACCCAGACATATGTCTCTTCCCCTCTAATTATGTTTATAACAGAAGCTTGAAAACAAATAGGTGAGTTCCCATTCATTGCTTATATTAGCTTATTTTTATTTGTGGGCTTAGCTGCTTAGGAAGAATAGCTATTTTACTGTGTTCTTAAGTCATCATAAAAAGCATAAATCAGAGGTTTAATCATTTTTTCTAATTACAAAAGCCATGTTGATTTTAGCAAATGCAGATAAAAAAGAAGGGGGGAAGATTGCCCTTATTTATGCTACCCAGAAATAATCACTGGTAACATCTTGGTATACCTATTTCTAGTCCTTACACTATACATATCTTTTTTTACTTTTTTACTTTTTAAATTTTTGAAAAAAAGAATCACACCATACTCAGCATAGTACAGATCTTCTTTGACTTATGATGGAGTTACGTCCCAATAAACGTATCATAAATCAAACCTACCTACCAAACATGGCTTAGCCTGGCCTACTGAAACGTACTCAGAACACTTACATTAGCCTACAGTTAGGCAAAAATCATTAACACAAAGCCTATTTTATAATAAAGTGTTGGATATCTCGTGTAATTTATCAAATACTGTACTGATAGTTACAAACAGAATGGTTGTCAGCGTAGAAGTTGGTTACCCTCATGACTGCGGGGCTAACTGGGAGTAGCTCCTCAGTGCTGCCCAGCGTCTCGTGAGAGGATTGTACTGCGTGTTGCTAGCCCTGGACAAGATCCAAATTCAAAATTCCAAGTACAGTTTCCACCGAAATGTATTGCTTTTGCACCAGAGTTAAGTCAAAAAATTTTAAGTTGAACCATCCAAAGTCGGGGACTGTCTGTATTCTCTGGCTTGCTTTTTTCACTTACTATATTAGGAGTGACTTTTCAGTTGCAGTTATCTTTAATTGCACAGATCACTCTCCCTAGCCTAGAACAGAAATAAAATCTGTTTTTTACCTTTCACTAAAACACATTTTGATAAAATAAGGTATTTCTTATCCTTAGTTCCTTCCCTAACAAAAAAATAGTAATAAAAATAAAATATTTTCTTATAATGGTGGTTGCTTTTTTGTAGACAGACTGAAACCAATCGGTGTTCATCAGACTGGCCATTTCAACCTTACCTGGTGTTTGATGTCGGAGACGGTTCAGAAAGACGGGATAATGAGTATGTTCTCCTCTCTTCAATCCCCAGGGATGGTCCCAGAGCTGTTATTTTTGTTCATATTTACATGGAAAACATTTTCCATACATCTCTTTGCCTAGTGCCAGGGCACAGGCATTTTTCTGGAGCTAGGCTACTAGCTTTTCCTTTATTATCATAAATTACTAATATCTTTCTCTATACGTTTCGGCCTTTTAGTTCTTCTTAATTGTGTAATGGGGATGGTAATCCCTAGCATGGTAAGCACTTGAGTAAATACATGCTAATAAGATCACAGCTGTTGTAAGACAGACATGGCCCCAGTGCATGGATGGCTCTTGTGATCTAAGAGGAGAGACAGACACAACTGGGTAATCGCCAAGGTAATTACTTATTCCAGCTGGGTTAAGCGGTGTGAGGATCAGTATAGATCCATTTGAATTAAGGTAGGAGACAGAGGGTGGACAGTACCTGATGTCTGGGATTGTGTATAAGGGAACGTATTAATGTGGTCTGTGAAGGATTGAAAAGGAGTGGTGACTGCTAAGTAGGAGAAACTTCTAAGGAGTTAGGGCGTCTTGTGAGAAAATAGAGGGGTAGTGGTCTGTAGGCTGTGTTTGTTAGCACAGGTCCTAGCATGGAGTACGGGGAGAGTACACATACCACCTCTGCGTCCCTGAGAGCGCTGTAGAGCACGTGGCGTCCTCAGTAAGGATTAGGTATTAGTTGAGCTACTGAGGTGGGGGGACAGGACACTGAGTGAAGAAGTTAGGGCTACAGAGAAGCAGTTGGCCATAAGCATTGTTGGGGGTGAAGGTCACAGAAGAGTGTTGACCTGAGAGGTGACCGAGGAAAGTAAATTAGACTTCAGTGATGGAAGAGAGAGCTGGCTAATGGGGTTTTCTGTCGAGTAAGTCAGAAGTTAAGATTGTGGGTATTAAAGGCCCTTAAAGTGAGACCGCTAAGGTGGCCTCAGGTGCAGCGCATGTTGCTCCTAGAACAGTAATGAAGGGGTGCGTGTAGTTTGGGAGGTGAGTTGGGAGTGCAGGAAGAGGCCAGTGAGGATGCAGGCCTGCTGCAGGATTCCATGTTGTTCACCTCTGGGGGCTACATCACATTTAGTCTGTGTGGATGGCATCCCCTCGCCGTGTGGTGCCCAGCCAGCGTGGGGAATTAAGAAAGATAATATGATAAAGCATTTTTTTCAGTGTGTGGAAGATAGCAAATTCTTAGTGTTCGCTATTTATTATTCATATCTTCGTTATTATGAATACTTTTGTTCTGACTGTTGCTATCCCTGTTACAACAAATGAAGATATCGGTGAGTAAACTTCAGTTGACTTCAGAGTCTTTTCTTTCTTACAACTTCCTGTTTCACTGGGTGGTTATAGGTCTTCAAGTATGCAATATTAATGGTCATTATAACAGCTTCTTTGAGCCGCTGATGACTGAATAAAGGTGAAACATACCTGCCTGCCCTTCACTGTAACGGAAAACAAAGTAGGACTGAAGCTAGCAGTTGGACTGCTATTAGTTTTGATGTGTTTTGTTTTGTTTTTTTCATCTTATTTAGCTCATATGTAAATGTTCAAGAAATAAAACTGGTAATGGAAATAATTAAACTTATTAAAGACAAAAGAAGGGATGTTACTTTCCGGAACATTGGCATAATAACCCATTACAAGGCTCAGAAGACGATGATTCAGAAGGATTTGGACAAAGAATTTGATAGAAAAGGGTGAGGCATCTATATTTTTACAGATATTTCCAGTTTTTCTGTTGAATTAAAAAGAAGAAAGAGGGGATAAAAGGAAACCTAACTCTAGGAAATGGCCTTAGGCCATGGTAATATAGCAGGAGGAGACTCAAGGCTTCGGTCATGCTGGGTAGGGAACGCTCAGACTCCCGGCCCCGCAGACCAGCCATAGACAGAGTACCTCCTGCTGATCGGGATGTCCTCACCACCATTGGCAGTGGAACCCACTGAGAAACCCTCCAGTCCTCTTCCTTTACTTCTATGACTTGTTGATCTGAATTCTCATTCTAGTAAGATTCACGAAGTAACACTTTCACTTAGAATAAAGTATTTAATCCTTTTCATGCCTTTATGTACAGGGTGAAGATCATGTTTTTGTCTCCTTCTTACCTCAACAATAAAATTAAAGATTAATTATCGGAAATCCATTAATTCAAACATTTCTTAACCTAGGAACACACAAGCTACCAAAATTGGCTCTAGAAAAAAATAAGAAAATTTGAACAGACCTGTAAAAAGTAAAGAGATGGAGTTAGTAATCAAACACTTTCCAACAAAGGAAAACCCAGGACCAGGCTTCACTGGTGAATTCTATCAAACAGTAAGATCAGAATTAATACCAATCCTTCTCAAACTCTTCCAAAACATAGAAGAGGAGGGAAGACTTTCTAACACCTTTTATGAGGCCAAAATTACCTTACCAGAGCCACGGAAAGACATCACAAGAAGAGAGAAACTACAGGCCAGTATCCCTTATGAATATGGATGTAAAAATCCTCAACAAAATAATGGGAACTGAATTCAGCATATTAAAAGGATTATACACCAAGACCATAGTGGAATTATCTCAGGAATGTAAGGTTGGTTCAATATACAAAAATCAACGTGACACAACATATTAATAGAATAATGGGAGAAAACCCACATGATCATCTGAGTAGATACAGAAAGAGCATTTGACTAAATCCAACACCCTTTCAGGATAAAAACATTCAATAGACTAGGAATAGAAAGGAACTTCCTCAACCTAATAAAAGGCATCTATGAAAAACCCACAGCTAACATCATATTTGATGGTGAGACTGAGTGCTGTTCCCCCAGGATCAGGAAGGACGCCTGCCCTCACCACTTCTGTGCAGCACTGTATTAGAGGTTCTGAGCAGGATTATTGAGCAAGAAAAGAAATTAAAGGCATCCATATTATAAAAGAAGTAAAACTATCCTTTTTCATAGTTGGCAGGACCTTATATATCAAAAACCACATAAACCATTCATTCTAATGAGTTCAGCCAACTTGTAGGATGCAAGATCAGTATACAGAAATTAGTTGTATTTGTATACAGCAGCAACTAGCAATCTGAAAAGGAAATTTAAAAAACAATTGTTTATAATGGCATCAAAAAGAACAAAATACTTAGGAACGAATGTAGTAAAGACGTATAAAACTTACACATCAAAAAGTACAAAACGTTGTTGAAGGAAGTTAAAGAATACCAAGATAAATGGAAAGATAGTCTGTGTCCGTGGATTGGAAGACTTCGTGCTGTTAAGGGGGCAGCACTCCCCAGAGTGATTGATCTACAGATTTCAGTGTTGTCTCTAGCAGAATCCAGCTGCCTGTTTGACAGAAACGGACAAGCTTAACCTAAAATTCACGTGGAAATATCTTGAAAAAGAACACTAAACGTTGGAGGGTTCACACTTCACTATTTCCAAACTTACTGCAGAGCTGGTTATCAGAACTGGTACTGTCCTAAGGATAGACATAGAAACCAGTAGAATAGAATTGGGAGTTCAGAAATGAACCCGCTCATTTATGACCAGTTGCTTTTCAACAAGGGTGCCAACGTTATTCAGTGGGGAAATAATAGCCTTTTTATAAATGGTGCTGGGCCAACTAGATCTCCACACGCAAGAGAATGTATTTTTTTTTTTAAATAAGGAGCAAGTGGGAGGGAGGGGCAGAAGGAGAGGGAGAAGGAGAATCTTAAGCAGGCTCCATGCCCAGCACAGAACCAGACACGGGGCTCCCTTCTCACCATCCTGAGATCATGACCTGAGCCAAATCAAGAGTCCGAAGCTTAACTGGCTGAGCTGCCCAGGCACTATGAAAATGAATTTTGACTCTTGTCTCACACCATACAGTATAATGAACTTAAAGTGGATTAGAGCACTGAATCTAAGCGATAAAATTATAAAACTTGAAATAAAGGTATAAATCTGTGTGACTTCAGATTAGACAACAGTTTTTCAGCATGACACCCAAGCACAAGTTACCAAAGTAAAAATAGATAAATTGGGCTTCATAATTAAAAATTTAGAAACCTTTGTGGGTCAGAGTACACCATTTAAAAAGGGAGAAGACAGCCCCCAGAATGGGAAAATATACGGATAGTTCCTGATTTACCATGGTTTGACTTAGAATTTTCCAACTTTATGATGGTGGGAAAGCAGTACACATTCAGTAGAAGCTATACTTCAAATTTTGAATGTGGATCTTTTCCCCAGCTGGTGATGCGCAGCACAATCCTCTCGCGGTGCTGGGCAGCAGTGGGCGCAGCTCACAGGCAGTCCCGCGGCCACTGGCAGCCATCCTGTACCTATCCTAGAGCAGTGGTCAGTAAATTACGTGAGATAGCCAACGCTTTATTATAAAATAGGCTTTGTGTTAGATGACTTTGCCCAACTGTAGGCTAATGTCCGAGGTAGGCCAGGCTAAGCTACAGTGTTCGGTAGGTTAAGTGTAGTAAATTACATTTTCAACTTGGGGTATTTTTAACTTACGATGGGTTTATTGGGATGTAACCCATCCTAAGTCAAGGGAAATCTGTACTTGCAAATCATGTATCTGAATTATATAAAGAACTCACACAACTCAAAAATAAAAAGTTAAATAATCTAATTTTTTTAATGGGCAAAGGATTCAGATAGCATTTCTCAAAAGTAGGTTGTAAACAAATGGTCCACAAGCACATGAAAAGATGTTCCACATCATTTGTCATTAGGGAGATGCAAATCAAAACCACAGTGAGACCCCATGTCACCCATCTAAATGACTCATAAAAAAACAGACAATAACAAGTTTGGGCAAGGATGTTGAGAAATTGGAACCCTTGTGCATTGCTGGTGAGAATGTGAAATGGTAGATCACTGTGGAGAACAGTTTAGCAGTTCCTCAAAAAGTGAAGCATAGGGGCACCTGGGTGACTCTGTCAGTCAAGTGTCCTCTTGATTTCAGCTCGGGCCTGGCCATGATCTCAGGGTCGTGGGATCAAGCTCATGTTGGGCTCCCTGCTGGGCATGGAGCCGGTTTGGGATTCTTTTCTCTCCCCCTCCCACTCCCCCAACATTCACATTTGTGCTTTCTCTCTCTCAAAAAAAGTGAAGCGTAGAATTCCTGTATGACCCAGAAATCTCACTCCTAGATAAATACCTGAAAGAACTGAAAAAATGTTAGCACAAGAGCTCGTAAGTGAATGTTGATAGCAGCATTGTTCATAATGGTCAAAAAGGGAAAACAACCCAGATGTCCCATCAATTGTAAATGGATAAATAAACCATGGCGTATCTGTACAACCAAATATTCAGTCCTAAAAGGAGTGCAGTACCGTTACACGCTACAGCAGGGATGAACCTTGAACATGTTCTAAGTGAAAGAAGCCAAGGAGGAAAGGCCACATATGTTATGGTTCCATTTATAAATAAAATTTCCAGACAGAAAGTAAATTCGTGGTTACCAGGCCTGGAAAGAGGGAAAAATCGAGATTAACTGCTAATAGGCACGAATGAAGGAAATGTTGTGAAAGTACATAGTGGTGATGGTTGTACAACATAGTGAATATACTAAAAACCACAGAATGCTATACTTTAAAGTGGTGAATTTTATGTTACATGAATTATATATTGATAAAAGATACCATGACAAAAGCTGAAAAAATGCTACTGTATAAATATGCATATTTAATAATTATCTTAACGTTTTTCAGTAAACATATTTGTCTTTTGTAAATAGGCCAGCAGAAGTAGATACCGTGGATGGGTTCCAGGGCCGGCAGAAGGATTGCGTTATTGTTACGTGCGTCAGAGCAAATACCATGCAGGGTTCAATTGGGTGAGTGTCACTGGCTTTTTACTTGTCTGTAATCTCGAGTCAGATCTGTTTTTGATCACTGTTGGAGAATATCATTATTTGCAGTATTTTCCTTTATAAAAACTTGTGTCACTTCATGAAAGTTTCCTTTTTCACTTGTAAAGTTGATCCACTGTCACGTCTGCTTCTCTTGGACCTTGTCTATCACCCACGTCCAGGGGCAGTCTGTTCTTTGACCTCCTAAGAGTAACCTAACTCTTGGCTCGGGGGTAGTTTGCAGGGGGCCTGTCCTCTCCACGATCTGTCATAGAGTGGCTTTTCGTCTTCTCTGTGTTTTTGTGCTTTGCTAAGTTTGTAAACCTTAACTCCTGTCAGTTTACTCACTAAAGATGCCAAGGACATTGTAATGAGTGACAGAAAACTCCCCTGAGTCTCAGAGCGCTGAGACTCTTGTGTGGCTGCCTTTTCCTGCTCTTGAGGAGCAGGTGAAATTTACAGATTATAAATGAGTTTCCTTGCTCTTAAAGAAAATAGTAACATGAGTTACCTGTTCCCTGTTTGGAGAGAGTCTGCATGGACAAGTGAAGACATTGGTATCTCTGGGGCATCCTGTGAAGCAGAAAGGCCACCTTCTTCATACAGCAGTTCTGTTATTGCTGAGCTCTCCTCAGATGTGTTGGTACCTTTGTCTGATATGTGTGTGCTTCTCCTCTGGCTCCACAACATTTTACTGATCTCCGATATACTAAGAATAACTGATCTAGTAGCGTGTTTTTAGGATGTTTCTAAAGCTTTAAGGAGGATACTGTTAAGGGGCGCCTGGGTGGCTCAGTCGGTTAGGCATCTGCCTTCAGCTCAGGTCATGATCCCAGGGTCCTGGGATCAAGCCCCACATCGGATCGGGCTCCCTGCTCAGCGGGGAGTCTGCTTCTCCCTCTGCCCCTCCCCCTGCTTGTGCTCTCTCTCTCTCACTGTCAAATAAATAAAATCTTCAAGAAAAAAAAAAAATGACACTGTTAAAATTCCCAGTATCTTTTCCAAGTCCAAATAGGAGATTGACAGACAGATGCATCACTTTCAAGGAAAGCTCCAAGCCTTTTGTTTCCAGGTTTTAATGGGAATTGCTTCTTTGCTGGGGACCCTGTGTTGGGAAGAGGGAGAAAATGATGTACCATTAAAGAAGGAGAAGGATGGGCGCCTGGGTGGCTCAGTTGGTTAAGCAACTGCCTTCGGCTCAGGTCATGATCCTGGAGTCCCTGGATCGAGTCCCTCATTGGGCTCCCTGCTCGGCAGGGAGTCTGCTTCTCCCTCTGACCCTCCCCACTCTCATGTGCTTTTTCTCTCATTCTCTCTCTGTCAATAAATAAATAAATAAAATCTTAAGGAGAAGGAGCACAGGGAAAGCTCTCTGAAGCACTGTCTGTGTGTCACCTGCACTTACGCTAAGTCGTTATGCAGAAGGAAGTAACTTTGTTTTTATTGCTTAGATTTCTGGCAAGTTTGCAGAGACTGAACGTCACCATCACACGAGCCAAGTACAGCCTCTTCATCCTCGGACATTTAAGGACCCTCATGGTAGGTGCATTCTCAGGACCAGAGTGCTCCAAAGGTTGCCCATTGTGACTGATACTCGGTTGAGGTTTTGTTTTTATTTTCCATCAAAATGGAATTGATTGCAGGGTTACAAAATAATGAGCTTCTTCCCCCTGGTTGTCCTGTCCTTCAGCAACTTCTGTCTGGGAACTTTTATAGATGTAAACTGCTAACCCTTTCGCAGTCCAAGGCCCAAGTATCCACAGTATCCATAATGAAAAAAAAATTATGTCTCCATCATAGGACTGTTGAGATCTATAAATCCATCCATACATCTAAGGTGCTAGAACAGTTGTTGGCACTTAGCACGCACTCAGCTACTGTGGCTGTTATTGGCCCAGCTTAACGCCGGCTCGAGGGAGTTTGCAAGAGGAAGCTTGGATCTTCTTTTCTGTTTTGGCATGGGGAGCGTACTGCTCACCCTGTGTCACTTGGGTGGGGGAGGCCGTGTCAGAGCTCCTCTAGGAGACGGGGCGGGTTTACATCCGTGGTAGGCAGAGTGTGGCCTCCGTCGGTGACGTCGGTGATGTCAGCTGGCTAACACAGGTGTTTGCTGCTTGCCCCTTCAGGGGGTCACAACTTCGAACGTTCTTCTCATTTTTGTGTTTCCCAAAGTCAGTGGTTATGTTAGGAGAGGAGCTAACTCATTAGATTTTTTTCAGTATTTTTCCCATTTTCTGGTTAGTACCACCAGAGGGCATTCAAATACAGTCTTTCCCATTCAGTTCTTCCCTACATCTGTGGTCTTCAACTTCTGTTATTTGTGTGCCCCCTTGAAGGAATTTTTAAAAGCTGCATACCACCTGTTTTTAAGTTGATATTGAAAATTTGTTATGGTAAGTTTAAGTATTGCTTAAGATTTTGCTTTTGAATATATTATAAATATTGGCATTGTAAAATAAAACTATTAAAAATCTTTAC